TGCCACGGGTGCTCTCCAGGTACAGCCGCAGGTTGCTCACGGTCCACTTGCCCCCGTGGATGTGGTTGTAGTCCTCCTGGCGACGGAAGGGGGCAGGGGTCCCCTCAGGCCATGCGTCCCAGAGCAATCTAGCCACTTGCTCCCATTCCTCAAACATTTCTGGAGCGCCTCCTGGGTGTGGGGCAGGCGTCCGACAAGGCAGACGGGACCCCCACCCACAAAGAACTGGGCCTCCTAGTATGTGCATATTTTTAAAACGCTCAGCTCCCCAAATTCTCATACTCAATCACTCACATCTCAGAGCACGTGCTGTGTAGTGCTGCCCAGACCTCCTCTAAGACCAAGGTGCTCATTCTTCTGGGTGGGACCCTCCCTGGGAGCTGCCCTCAGTCAGCTGGCACAACCTGGTGACTGGCTGATGCTTCCCTTGGGGACAGCTCTGCAGGGCCACCCCAGCTCCATGGACCCGGGGGCCAGCTGGCCTCCCCTGCAGCAGCATCTCGGCCTGACCTTCCCTCTACCGGGTCCACTTTCCTCCCTCCCTCACGGGTGCCGCCCTGACACTGGGGTCCCCACAAACCTCCTGTACGCTGATCTCTGCCCCCATCTCTTTCCTGGGGAAGCCAACCTAAGACAGCTGTGCCACACACTGTAGTTTAAAAGCACCACACAGGTATGTCTCCAACAACCTTGCAAGGTCGCCATTCGTCCCATGCCGCAGGTAAGACGACTCAGTTCAGAGAGCTCTCCCTGCCGCTGGGATGGCGCTGCACCACGGCCCAGGTGTTCTGGTGCCAGCTCAGTGCTCTTCCTATTTCACTGTCCCTGGAAATTAATTCTGCATACGCTGCTTGCCTTCGAAGGCAAAGAGCTGGAGAATTTCATTTTCTAAGTATAAAGTTGAGAACTGTGGACCAAAAAAAACCCCAGCCAACTAATGAACAAATGCTACTGACTCAAAGCAGATAAAAACAGAGAATTAACCATATTTTTTAAAAGTACCTTTTTGGCCGGGGTGGTGGCTCACGCCTGTAATCCTAGCACTCTGGGAGGCCGAGGCAGGAGGACTGCTTGAGGTCAGGAGTTTGAGACCAGCCTGAACAAGAGCGAGACCCCATCTCTACTAAAATAGAAAAATTAGCCAGGTGTGGTGGCGCATGCCTGTAGTCCCAGCTACTCGGGAGGCTGAGGCAGGAGAATCACTTGAGCCCAGGAGCTGGAGGTTGCAGTAAGTTATAATGACACCACTGCACTCTACCTGGGCTGACAGAGCAAGACTCCATCTCAAAAAAAAAAAAGTACCTTTTCAAGGTAGGAGACAGTGAAATCCCTTTTATACATACGTTTTTATTAAAATACTTTAAAAGATGAGGTGTCCAAGCTTGTTCACCTAAAATGGACTCTCCAACAGCTCAGGGTTTGTGTCCCTAGAAAAGGACTAGGGAAAGGTAGAGGAAAAGCCAGGCTAACTGTCCACCAGTTCCTTTCTGATTCCAGTCATAGACTCCCTTTACTATCAAGAAAAGTTCATGTCCACCTTTAAACAAAAAGTTTAATGGCTACAGAGTTTCAATTTAGCGAAACGAAGAGTTCTGGAGCTGGACGGTGGTGACGGTTGCACAACG